GTAACTATTTCTTACTGGTTTTTAAATGAGTAACATGCATAGGGAGGAGGGATCCTGCTTAAATTTCACTTTCCACCACCTTAGTGCGGGGAGGAGCTCAGTCAGTGGGAGTCCCATGGTGGTGGCCCCTGTGCCAAGTTAGAGGGAAGCAGCAGAGGAGTGGATATGAGCTAAAGGGTCAGAGTGCTGCGTTTTGCTTACAGCAAATGGTGAACTCCTTTAAAAAAAGGGAGAATATACCAATGTTAATTGTTAATCATTGACTCATTAACAGTGCTGAGCAGAGGTGCTGTGTCTACCAGTAACATGCTGGGTGGTACAGAGTGGTGGAACCCTCAGACAGTGAAGAAATGATCATACCTTGATCCTGATACAGACACTTCAATTGGGAAGAGCTGGTTTGGGTTCTAGCTCTTAGGGAAATTCATCTCAGCTAGGAGAAGCAGAAATGAAGAGGGTCACTAATGCAGGCTTACTAAATAACAGTTTGTGTCAAGCGACACTGGTGGCACTTGCTTGGGTATCAGATGGGATGAAATTCAAAGAGCAGTGGGATTCGGGAGGTCAAGTCTCCTGGGAACAGCAGCAGGTGTGGGGGTTCTGCCACCAACACTGTCCCTTTGCATGACATTTCTATGGGTTGGACACTTCGGTTCTGCCTCCTGTACTAGCTGAACTTAAAAAAACTTACTGCTCTCATAACTTTGCATGTATAAATTGTTCAAAACTGTCCAACTAGAATCCTTTTCCAGAGTTCCCAGGGGTGGTGATAACAGTGCCCTAAATTACCAGTATGAAACTTACTATCTCTGTTATACCTAAGTTTTCACAGAAGACATGAACCACAGACCTGGGGAAAGGATGTATGTGTCTGTGTGTGCACTGAGAAATGTAGCTGTCCATGTTTTGGTGCAGCAGTTCAGCCCAGTTCCAGGGGATTTGCAAATATCTGACCTATCTGAATTTAGCCTATTGAATCCTGTATCAAATCTCTCTTTGCTTAATGTGCTCCATTTCCACAGTGCTCCTGAGTACTGGGAGAAAGCAGGTAACATTCACAGGTCAGTGGACCTGCTCTAGGACTCCAGGGCTGGGCAGCCTGTCCTGCAACAACATCTCCTGGAGACTGGCAACATTTGGGGTGCATGGTACCAGAGCCTGAGAGCAAGACACCCCTCTGTAGATCCAGCACTCACAAAAGTAAACTCATTCTCCTTCTGTTACTCAGAGCAGCCATCTGGTTAGAAATGAAGCAGCTTGGGAATATTTGGGCATGGAGAAGCTGGGATAGGAGTTAGGAAAAGAGAAGGAATAGAGCTGGTTCACTCTTCTGAGTCATGTTGAGTTGGAATCCTGCTCTTATATGTTCTGTTGCAGCCCAGTGACCCACAGGCAATTTGACTAGAGTGACCACTTACTCATCTGTGCAATGTGGTCTGCTGACCTACTTTAAAACCCTTGATTCCAGGTGAGTTCCGCTCTGCAGACCTAGCACTAGGCTTTCTTCAACATCTGCCTCATTTTCCTTTCCCTGAGTAACTCTTTAGTGGAATAATTACTGTACAAAAGCCAAAGCCCAGCAAACTGCTCTGCATTCCAGTTCCACAGGAAGTACAATCTGAGCTTGCCAAGAGTGCTCACTCATCCGCGGCCACTCGGCATCCCAAATTCCCACTCCTGTTAGCGGGGGTTTACGTAACAGGAGCATGCTGGGCCTCTGACTTCTGTTTTTTATGCAGAAAACTAGAAATGAATGAGTGTGATGTGGCAGGAAGCAGCTTGTATGAAAGGCACAGAGATTGAAAGATGACAGTAATACATTTTCAATACTAAGTTAAAGCAATGAAATACTCGCTTGAACAGCAACTCTGGGATCCCCGAGGCTGGCTTTAAAAGGTGTAAATGAAGTCAACCTCAAAAATTGCACGGTCAATTTATTTGGCAGCATAAGCTTAAATTACCCAAACAGCTGGTTTAAAAACTGTTCTCTTAATAGAGAGACAAAGTATTGGGGCAGTTCCCTTTCTGTTTTGGGAACATGACAATAAAAACAATAGGGTTACAATAGTGACCTCCTCCTACAAGGAGGTGAGCAGTTAAGATTTGAGCCATTCTTCTGGGGTCCCCAGTGCAGCACCAGCCCTGACCAGTCTTCCATGAGACTGTGCTTCAGGTCAAGTTTATTAGTGCTCCTGTCTCCAGTTCTGGCCCTGCCTCCTGTATAGGTCCTGGGCCTTTGTTGTAGCCTTGTCTTCAACTCCATCTCCTTTTGCTATTGACTGGACCCTCTACATAGACACTGGACCCAGTTTATATTGCTTTTGCTTCACTAGTGACTGCCCATGTGCCAGCACCCAGCTCTGCCTGTCCTGTTCCCATGCTGCGAGATTGTGGCATGTTGGTGAGGGGGCTGTTTGCACTGTGGTCACCTCTGCTCTTGCCTCCCATCCTCTTGTGGAGCAGCGCTGCTGCTGCTCCTACTTTTTACTGGCCTTCAGTAGGCATTTCCTTGCTGCTGAATTGCAGATGATGCTGATGCTGGGAGGTACCAAGCAGCTGGCACGTAGCAATACATACCAACTGTGCAGTTATGTGCCTGCTGAACTCTCCTGTGCTTCACCAGACTGCAGAAGCTGATGAAAATCAACTTCATCCTGAGCAGGACTGTGCCATTTATGCATCTCAAGGGGTATCAAAACTGCTCAAGCGGCTGTGCATGTACTGAGACTGAGCTGATTGCCCGCATGTTTCCTGACCTCTCTTTCCAGGTCATATCTTTTTCCTGTGTACTGGGGGCATTGATTGCTTCTTGGGATGAGATCAGACTTTTGTTTAACAAATTTCCTGTTGTTGTGGGGACCAGAGCAGGAACAACACTCAGTTTCGTCAGTGTTCTTCCTACAGTGTGCTACCAGGCTCTGGGGCTCTTGCTGCAACTCTGAACCCTGCCAATGTTTTTTGAGAAGTGTTTTACAGCCTGTGGTAATATTTGGAGCCCTTCAGAGCTCGATAGCTATAGTGCAGATATCTTAGACTGGAGCAAACAGAGCTCTTGAGCAAGATGGTATAAGGAGGAAACTTCTTTTTTCCCCTGTATACCAGGTGTGAACGATGCTTGATGTCTAATGGGTAGGGTTGGGACAGTTGTGATCTTCCCTGCTTCAATGCAGGAAGACAGTTCCTACATACTTTTTCTGGTATGAACAACCTAAAACAAAAGAAAGGAAATAAAAAAGCCTGGCCAAGCGATCAATCAGGACAGACTGGGATCCTGCCTCCCCCCCTGCTGCAGTGGAGGATGAGGTTGGTGGTGTGGGTGCTGAAGAGCAGGCTGTGCTTTACTAAAACCTGGTGTTGTGTGCATGTTCCCTTCTCTCCTTCCCTTATCGTGGCTGGCCCTAAATGGCTCTGACCCAGAGCGTGAAACCTCCCCTAGTAGAGCCCACCTGACCATTGGTACCTCCATGCTTATCATGTATCACAGACAGGCAAACCTGACCTGAAGCAGGACCTGCAGCTCCAGCAGCACTGCAATGACTGGAAACAACCAAACACTATGTAAAAGCAAACCTGTGTTTTGAAAGGAATATATAGTAAAGTCTTGCTAAAAATCAGCAAATTCTGAACTTGGGTGTGGGATGGTCCTTTCTAAAGATGAATTAGAAATGGGAGGGGGAGGGAAACTGTGTGCCTGTCTATAGCATTAGAATCAAGATACAAAAAAGATGGAGGGGAATTGTGCCATAATTAATCTACCAGGATGCTATAGATCTCATTTCACTGTGCTACAGTAATAACTAAATGAAAATCCAGATCATGGCTGAGCACATGAAGAAATAAACAGTTCCTGTGTATTTCAGAGAAGGATGAATTTCACGTTGCTGTGGTTCCCAGTGGTTCCTCAGTTTGCTTGGGAGACGGTTGTTATCAGGATAGTGCATTCTTCAGAGATGATCTAAACTTGTTTTTGTTTTGAAATGGCATACTTCTGTCATCATCAACACCCGAAGAAAGACACTTTGTAAACTTTTCTTGTATTACAGCTTTATAATGACAAACCCAGGCTAAAGTAGATGTATGAAATTTAGAAGGTCATGAAGTACTGCCCATATCTTTTGGGGTATATTCTCTGGTTCCTCTGAAAGGATCTTTAATCCAATGCTGCAGAATCCTGGTACCTCCAGAACTGCCTCATCTGAGAGATCACTTAAAAACTATGGCTCTCTAGGGAAGAGAAGAAGTATCTTATACACTTCTAGTGCTGCTTGTTATTATGAAAGCTAATGGGAAAATCAGGTTTGGAAAAGATATTATGTAGATTTGTGCTACTAGAAATCCAGCATTTTTATAAGGAATTTAAATCCTTTCTGCTATGGATCTGCTGTCCCTTTCCATGTGCTTGCTGTGGGCTCTGTCTGTATGGAGGCAGTGGAAATTATGTGAAAATCCAAGCAGGGCTTTTGTCCTTTTTGCTGGCCTGACCAGCAAAGTACAGCAAAGACTTACACAGACTATTGATCATCTTTAGATCAGATTTCAAAATCATGTGTAGAATATTTAATAGAATGAGTTTCATAAATGTTATGATACGAAAGTAATCTTTCATAAATTTTAGAATCTTTTGTTGTTGTTGAGATTGTTTAAAAATTGTAAATGAAAATATTTCCTAAAACATTTATATGCTTCACATTGCATTTGTTTCTGTCTAGGGCATATTTCTGATTGCCTGCACTTGTGTGTTCATTCATCACCACGACAGCTGAGGTTTTTGGGGGACCAGTCTGTTTCAGCAAACTCAACCAGGTAGGAAAGGAAGAATCTGTGAATATCACTGCAACTCTCACATGTGAAGGGATTAAATTCATTCAACCTTTTAAGAGAAAGGCTTAGGCTTTCTTCCATAGATTCTTCTTAAATGGATCATTCATCTTGCTTCTGTACTGTATGCTTCAAAAACTAGGAAGAATTAGGAAATAATTCCTTTTTTATTCTTTTTTTAGCTGTGGCACCACTTGAGCATTTGTGACCATTTTACCTCTTCCTCCCACATGACATGCGCATCTGAGGCTTTGGGGACATTAAAACTGTAAGAAAGAGATATGCTTAGTGTAACTTGATTAGCAAGTCAGTTGCTGTGTGTCTGTAGTGCTAGTGAAGGATCTGTGTGCCAGTTTGTCTTCATAGTCAGTAACACTTTGCAGGAATACACTCATTTATTCAGACTGCTTATGCACCTCTGGCACAGACACTTTCTTTAACCAGCAGATCTTGAAATCTATTTCACAACCACTCTTTTCTCTTATATGTGTTGCTTGCCATCCGTGATTAATGGACTGAGTTTTATAGGCAATGCATTTGCATGTTCTCTCTCTATATATGCCCTAATTCTGGCAAAACTTGCATTGCCCAGGCCTTCCTATGAACTATATTTCTGTATAAAATCCTAGCATGCGTGTGTGTACTGAGATGGCTGTTGGAAACTTATCTTTAAAGCTTTATTGCAAGCCAGAATATTCTGAAACTTGGCATACTGCTTTTGGAGTGGGTGCAGTTCATTTAGTTAAATCTGGGTCTGTCTCCTGCTCTCTTTTTATAGCCCAGGTTCCTCGGGGTAGAGGGAAGTACCTAATTGCAAATCTGTCTTGCCAAGTGCTTGGCAACTAGAGCTTCCCCCCACAATGGAGTTTGTCTCTAAAGCAGATAAGGTCCATTTAGAAAAACCTGATGTTTTAGGCTAAAAAAGGGCAGAGTTTTGAAGAACGGTTTAGAGATTAAACGCAAGTATGTGTAACACACTGATTTGTTTCCAGACCCTGTGGATAAAATACTCCTTTAACGTGTCACTACGTGAAAAAAGTGTCCTGTAGCAAACTTAACTCTTTATTTTTACATTCTCTTGCATTTCATCCTTTCCCACTGTTGGTTTAATATGACATTATAGGATATTTGGGTCAACAATCAGATTATGAAAATATTTTGTACCTATTTAGCACACAAATACCTATTTCATTTTCAAGAAATATATGTGCTTTATTTGGATCAGGTGAGTGCTCGAGTTTGAGAGGTACTTTTATGGCTTTGTGTACGTTACAGAGATCTGGCATCTGGGCCAGGGTTTGCAGTATGTGCATACCAAGCAGCCCGTATCAGCAAAGCAGAGGTACCAGCAGAATTCAGGGCCTGCAGTTGCTGCTAGTCAGTCCTGTAAATCTGCAGTACTGCAGAGTCAGCACAGGCCCACTCAGGCAGAAACCTAAACATCTGTTTAACTTTAGGCATGTGCTTTAAGCTTCTCTCACATGACCTGCTAAGTAAAGGGGGGGCGGGTTTGTTTGTAATCACTGTACTGAGTGCTTTCCTTCATAAAGTTGTGCTGGCAAAGCACTTTTCAAGCAGGATGGAGTTTGTTCCTTACCTTCAGACCGTCTTTTCAAAGTGTGGCAAGACATAGGCATGCAGTCCCAAAATTTCTCTCTTCCTTTTCTTTCTCTTTTCTGTCTCTCCATATGTTAGGTTTGCAGAAGGGGGGAACCTTGAGTGCCCCAGCCTAAAAGAGAGCTGTAGCTTGTTCATATGAGTCTCCAATCTGGACAGTCAAGAGGTGGGGACTGCAGGGCTGCTGCATGCACACCTGCCCCAGCATACAAATAGCCTACAAAACGGTCTGAGTGTTCTCATTTCACATTGAGGTAGGGTGGTGTGCTCAGTAACACTTCAGTGCGTAGGCTGACCAGTATTCCTGCAATTATCTGGGGTGTCTAGCTGTGAAAACTTGCAGTGGGCTTGTTCCTTCTGCTCCTCCAAGCTATGAAAACAAATTGATTTTCCTTTTGGATTGAATTCCCATTTCATTTTGTTGCTGCTCCTCCTGTGTGTTTCTCTGTCATGTTTTCTTCTGGGTTTTGCCTGTCTAGACTCTTCCTGTACTCATGCTGATTATTAGCTGGAATAGTCTGTGTAGAAATATTCTATATATTATTTATAATAAAGATCTGAATTAAAATCTCAGGTGTCCCAGCAGGGTCATAGGGAACCTTTTGAGAAGAACTATGGCTGAATATGTTCAGAGAGAATGGCATTCTTGCCCTGACACTGATGTGATACCTGAAAAACTACTGACAAAATAGCACTAGTCTGTTGAACACTTTTGGTTGAGCTCTGTTCTCCCACACAGTGGAAACTGTTGCTTTGTTCCACTCAAATGATAGAACTCAATTTGGAGGCCTCTTCTGACTCTTCAGTCACTAGCAAGTTTGGAAAAGTTAAATATCCCTCCTGTTTTTAGGTCTGGTATACTTAATTATGCATTATCTATTTGATAAACTCATTTTGGGGAAGATGAATGTAGAAGTGAAAGGAAGGGTGCAGGGGGGGAACATATTTTGCTTATTGATGTTAGAAAGACTTCATTCTGAACCAAGGGAAATATGGCTTAACAACAAATGGCATGTTTCTGTGAACAGACCAACAGGAAGATCTCCCTCTATCTGTGTGGGGGATGTTAATGAGTCATTACAGCTTGTTTGATGGGAGTTGGAATTCATTGTGGTATCTGGTAGCATCCATCATTCAGTTCTTCATCTGTTTTGATAAGGAAAAAATCCTGTGCTGCTGTATCCAGCTCTGTTCCTCCTGATAAATAAGCTGCGTATCTTTAAAAGCCATCTATTATCCTCTGTTTGTCAGTTTTATAAACTGGAAAAGATTAGTGGGAACAGAAAGAGAGGATTGCTGATTATCTGAACCAGTGTTAACTGTTGAAGAATGATTTCTTCTGCTGGGCCATAAGCAGTGCCCTGGAAGAACTGCCCTCTTGGTAACCACTGCCTCAAGAGCCTGTGGCCAGCAGAGCTCCTCCTCTGCACCCACAGCTCCCTTACTCAGTCATACAGGTGACTTTAAACTGTGCCAGCTCCAGTGCTTTTGGGACCATGAGTTGCCTGTGCCCCCAGACACTGAAACTAGCAGAGGTAGCTTAGCACTGTGTCCTGCTTTACTTCATCTCTTCCTTAGCAGACTTCCAGAAAGTGATGGGCATGGGATGCCTGCCATCCAGGCACATAAAGCTGGAGAACAATCACAGAAGCTGACCTACTCCAGCCTTGGCATCTGACAGTGCTTTATGAAACATACATACACACAAAAACGAGGCCGTGAAGCCATTTCAGGGCACTGCTGATCACTGTTGTCCTGCTCCCCAAAAGGGTCAATCCAAAATCCTCTACCACTGTCTGTAATGATTGCAGGTGTTGTGATCCCTGAATTTTCTTTTGACCTCTTATTTAATGTAGTCCTTTTTTTGCAGAAGCTTTTACAAAATCCTTTCTTGTAATTCCCAGAAAACTCATGAGGAGGAATTATTTTCCAAACTCCACTTTGTTGCACTGGAAGGTACAAAATAGACCTGCTGGGATTAACCCAAACAGCACGCACTTGGCTGAATCACAGCACTGAATTTCTCCCCTGGATATTCTGAGGCTTCTTTGAACACTGCAAATTAGCATTTCACTTAGGCTGATACCAGCAATAGGAGATGAGTGATGTTAACGTTTGAAAGTTATGTGGTAAATCTAATTTTCAGGTTTGCATGCCAAAGCTTAGCATGTACTGAGGCACTTAAAACTGACATATGGATGTTGTAGCTACAATTTAAATGTGTGGTATACCTCAGCATTTCATGGCCCTGATACACAAGTCTTGGAGGTAAAACTAGTGAGTTATAAGCATGATGGTACAGCTTCCTCTTTTGAATGAGTACATACTTGTACTTACTCAAATACCACCTCACAAACTGTGATTATGGTCAGTCAGCATGTGAAAAAGAATTGGTTTGCTAAAGGAATTTTAAGTTTTCACCTCAAATTTTACTGTGAGGCTGTAGGCAGACTCAAGCATGTCCAGAGGATACGCTCATCTCCAAGGATCAGAATGTAGTCCTAAAGGGGGTGTGAGAGCAGGATTTGTATGGTTCAGCAGCAGTTAGCTGAAGTGGCACAGTGATGTCCTACCAAATTCATGAGGATTCAAAATGGACAGAAGCAGCTTAATGTGTTCTATGAAATTTGTAGATGATGGATCTTCATGGGAATGTCTCAAGGAAAAGCACTAGATTAAGTATCATTTTATAAGCTCTGACACAAGGCCAGGCAATGGAGCACTATTGGTCTGGTGTATTTGCATAGCCATCCAAAATAATTTACCAGGGTTTCTGCAGTCCTCATTTTGCTGGCTGTTGGGAGACTTACCGTACACCAGTCATAATGCATCAAATTAATCAGATCATTGATACTTAGCAAACAAAAAGCATAGCAATCAGGAGGTAACCCGAACCCCTCTCCCCTCCCAGAATAGGCTGCCTGTAAGTGAAAATTCCACAATACTGTGATTCTTTTTAACAAAGGCAACAGGGGTAAGTCCCTATAAATCCAAACTACACACTGTTTTTTCATGAAGCAACTGTAATGAATGTGACTCAAGTTACAGAGTTAGTTGCAAGCAGACCCACAATGGAAAACATATGCCAGGTTACACATGTGAAGGATCCCAGCAGGCGATAACCACTGGGCTATAAGCTGTGTGCAGGCCGGTTCTGCACCATGGTGGATTTACTGTGGTAAACTACCCTGGTTCAACCCATTAAGCCAGAAAGTACTAAAGGAACAAAAAGATTCCTGATCTGAGCTGACAGGAATGGAAAGTACAAGAGATTTTATCAATGAGCTGCCTCCTGCTAGACGTGACCCATAGCATTCATTAAACCAAATTAAATAACCTTTTCTCATAAAAAGGGAATTTCCTTAAAATATTCCCATTTTCAGGCTACATCCTATATCTTCACATGAAGAAGTAACACTAATTATGCATTGTTACAAGTAGTTTGTTCATGACATATGAAAGAAATGGATTGAATGGTCACCTTGGGTAAAGCACTCCTTAGCGCTAGTATTTTTGGAACAAAGGTATAATTAGGGCTTAGATTAAAATCTGACTCTTCTGACAACCATGGAAGAACTTTCTCCAAGAAAGCAAATAACATGTAACAAAACCAGCCTCTTCCCTGCCGTAGCCCCACAGAAGGATTTAAAGTCTTTCCAGAAATGGCATAAACAATACCCTGGGGATACTCAGGAATGTTATTAGTGGTTAGTTTTTAACATGATACACTAAAGCATTGTATAGGGATAAAATTCCTGTAGAGTCAAAGGACATGAAAGTGAAAAGGGCTGAGTCATGGAGAGGCAGAATTAAGTATACAACAGGCCCATTTAAAACCCCTCTGTTATCTAGGTTATGCTGTGCCTTCCTGTTGCAAAATACCCAATTTACTGGATCTTCACCTCAGTGATACCAGAATACTTTTGTTCCCAGGGTAGCAGAGCTTATATACTGGCCTTCAGAAGCATATGATCAAAGGGACTATCCAATTTCCACCCACTGTGCGCAGGCTGCCAATTTAAATATTTACTACCCCTTGAGCTGGGCAGCCAGGAACGCAGCAGCAGAGAGGAGTATGAACCACGTATGTACTGCCACTGACCTGGTACATGTTCTGCTCTCTGGAAAAGGGACCAGGAATTTGAAGTGAACGTTCTGTGGCTACATTAGTAGAAAAACTCACTGTGCGCTTTAAGGAAACCCCAAACATACAAACCCAAAGAAATTACGCCCCGTTTACAACTCTGCTGCAGTAAGAACGCTGCCTGAGTAATACCTTGGAGAACTGTCCTTGCTATAAGCCTAACGATTGAGATCTATTGTTTCATTATAGAAAAGGAATTCATGAAGCCATTAAGTATTAATTTCCTTCCAAACACTGTTGTTCTATGAGGTACATTCAATAGTTGGTAATTTTCCCCCGTAGCTGAAGCAGCTTTGACATGTGATGATAAACTGAACAAATGGGAGAAAACCGGTTTGGGGTTTTGCTTCTCTTGTGTGCAAAATGTCCTTCGTGTTCTACCTTAAGGTCCAACATAGCTCCTGACCATAGGAACTTGGCTGGATATCAGGCAGTTATGGAAACACTTTAGGATCTCATCACACCTGGTGGCCTCAAGAGGCTACTTAAGGATAAAGGGGAACCTTCTGCACCTGCACAGGAAGTCTCAGCTGCATATTGCTTTTACTTTCTCGAGAGCAGAGTATCTAAACTCTGCTTGTGGCAAATACATGAAATAAGGAGCATACTGATTATTTCCAGACAGAATAATGATTCCCCATTTATTTTTGTTTCATCCACATAGTACTTTGCTTTAAATTCACTTGGGTACAATCTCAAAAGTGATCTGACTACAAACTCGATAGAATTTTGTTTCATTTATCCGCTATTATCAGTATTAGCCATAAAAACTTCTTTGTTGTCTTGCAGGCATTTCCTCAGGCACTCTTTAATAGGATGCCCTCCTGTTTGCTAGTTTTCACTTACAACCAGGAAAAATACCATAAACTTAATGCATGCCACAATTTGCTAACCTGGTCTGGCTTAGCACTGAGACTAATCTAGTGTTCTCTCTGGCAGATAGATACACAGATGGATTTAGATTTGCTCCCAGCATTTTGTTCTCAGGATTTTAGGTATCAGTTTCTCTTCATTTTTCCAAGTCCATGCTGCTTTTTGCTGCCATTTTGCTTTCTTTCCGATTGATTAATATCACTGTCATAGCATGGTGGCCAGCACCTAACAGTAACCCAGCAGCTGCCTCACCACCACTGAACACATGTTGCAGCAATGGCATTTCTATGCAGTTTCTTCTAAATGCAGCTCTCGTGGTAGGAGATTCACATCCAGTTTATAAACATCTCAAATACTGTAATTAGCCTTTAAAGGAATATGGTACTTGGCTCTTCCCTGTGGCTTTGAGGGATTCTTAGAGCCACAGGGGAGAGCAGCAGAAACTCAGTGACAACCACTGCTCAACTCTAATGTTTCTTTAATTCTCTCTCCATTGAGAGTCTATTGCATTTTACTTCTGGCTTTCATTCTTTTGTAGAGTACTACACTAAGTATTTCATAATCATATGCTTGTTCAAACATATTATTCTTTTCACTTTAACCTTCTCCTAGAAAAGATACCCCAAACCTCTCTGGATTTTAACCTATTTATTATTTAGCCTATTTAACAGGTGTATGGAAGCAGGAATAATGACGTGCTCTTCTAGCACATTACAGGACATACAAAGCTTAGAATTGTTCCTTACAGAATTCTGTTTACCCCTAAAGTTCTGATAAACACACCATCAGCAATGATTTTTCCCTGTTTGGCTGTTAAACTGCAGCAATGGTAACGTTTGCAGTGCTGGCTGCAAGGAGCTGCTCAGTGCTGTGCCTGGCAGGGAAGCTTGAAGAGCTGAAGCCCTTTAGAAAGCTCAACAACAGATAGCTAACATATTTTTGCTTCTTGTCAGCTAGTGCTCTCATTAGACAATAGTGTGAGGGAACGTAGGAGGAAACAATACAGCTGGAGACACTGGCAAGACAGCATTGCTTGCCAAATTTGGCCACAGTTCCTTTAGACAAATAATTTCTCAGTGACGTGCTGCATTTAAATTACATAAACAGCAAAAATGACCAAGACCTGGGCCTCTGGGGCTTGTGGGCTTCAAGTTTCTGCAATCAATATTCTGACATCTGCAAAGATTTTTCTCCAACAGCTGATGCCAGGAACAGAGCAAGGTTACCCCCACTTTGTGTGTGTTGTAGGGTATGAATAGACTGAAATGATGTCTCTGCAGCCCCATCCCTGGTCAGGACCTTTGCACTATCAAAACCATCAGCTCATACGAGAGGACTTATATAGGAGTTATCAAAGCAGTGGTTTGTAACCTCTTATAGCAACTCCATTAGCATTGCAAGAAATGCACATGGAAAAACACTGTATAAGGTTTCAGCTTCCAGAATTATCAAGGGGTTTAGAGTAACTTTTGCTGAGCATAATGTAACTCACTTTGCACATTGAATGTATGGGGTTATTGGTTGGTTTTCCTATTTAGGACCAGAAAATAGTTCCTAACTCTGTGGTAAGACTTCCTTGATAATTAAGAGACTTCCACATTAACAGCTGAATACACTCGAGCTATCTGAAAAGCATTTCTATCACTGAGGAATTTATGCAGGAAATAAATGTGCACGATTCTTCCTGAACGGCACCGTCCCACAGGAAGACCCTACCTGACTTTTATAGAACATCTCTAGATAATTTTCTGAAGTTGTAAAAACAAATCCTTTATTTAAAAGGTATTATTTTAAAAAAATCAGTTTCCATAACAGAAATCAAACCTATGCACGTCACATGAGACATTCTGAAGGCAGGAGTTGTTGAATATTGACAGTTACCCATGGCACTGAGGAAACATGGGCTATGCAAAATTACTAACTGCATTTATTACTATTGCCTGCATAGGAAAGCCCAGACAGGAACAAAAAATGCACTGTTAAAACAGTTATGCTTTCCTTTTGATGATACGACCCTCATCACCTGGCCCCTCCTCCAGCAACACTCCCAAAGAAAACCTGCTCTCTGAAAACAGTCAAAATGAACACACTTTGTTCCATTGTCAGCCCCCCACATACTAATGGGGAACAAGGCAGAGAGATGTAAGTATGCCAAAAAGTCTCTCAAGCACTTCCATATTTCAGTTGTACCTTAAGGCAAGTTTGTAAATTTTAAGGGAATATGTTAAGAATTAAGCATAGAGCTTGTGAAATCCTTTTTCTTTGTAGTTTTTGATCAAAGTTAACTTTCTCAGAGAACAGGTAAGCATAGCAATAACCCCTCACAAGTGTCTTAGGATAAGACCATGTTAGTGATGTTTATGTCATTTTTACATCTGCAAGTATTACACTGACATTTGCAGTCCAGCTGTACAAGGCAACTTCAGTAGTTCTGTGCACAGTGTGATGGCATTTCACAGAGTGTAAATATTGAGAGTAACGAGGCAAAACTATCTCAGTATCCCATTTCTACTTAAATGCATGAAAGGAAGAACAGAACATGGGATCTTCTCAGAGTTTCATGTCTTCAAAAAAAGGATGCAGCAAAGCCTCTTTTGCAGTTATTCTTGTTGCAGGGTTTAAGTCTAGTAGCTTGTCAAGTAGGTCATATGCTTCATCAGGAACCTGATCCCATCCTTTCATGTCTGTTGCCTTCATTTCTAAAGCACCATCACCTTCCTGAAAACTCTTTAACTGTTGAATTTGCCTTCCAAGTGGCGCAGGAGCACACGGTTTGTCTGGCAAAGCTGAGTCATTTCCAGCCTTGCTGGGCACTTCGTCCTGGGATCTCATACAGCTGCTATGTGTTCCTCTCAGCTTCTCACAGAGGGTTCTTAAGTTTTGTGCTGGGACAACTTGAGTACACAAAACTGATTTGCCTAGAAATAAAATTACAGGAAGCAATGTTATATCTTCTATGCAACTGTAACAGAATTCTACATTTGTTTCAGAGAAACCTCATGTCTTACACCTCTGGAGAATGAAATTCCATGCCGTGTTACACTGCCAGGTAGCAAGTGCGGCAGTTATTTGGCCTGCAGATAATAAGGGGAATGGTTATTTCAGTTCTTCGTGTGTTTGGTAGGGCTTTTGTTGTTTGGGGTTGTTTTTTTAACAGGCCATCTGTTGGGGTTTGGTTTTGTGTTTTCTTTTCCTAGCCCTCTGGGGAGGGGAGGTGGGCAGGAAGCACGGTTTACATCATCTGAATATTAAGTCATATTGACATAAGCCTCCAGGGCACATTTTGCAGGAATAGAAACGTTTTCCTCAAGAATTCTAACTAAATGCCAGCAGAAAACATTTAGTTGGCATGTTTCACCTCGAGTGGCCTTGGCTTAGTGAAAAGCAGTAGAAAGGTTGGGAAACCTGTAGCATGAAGTGCCCCATATGGGAATTATAAAATACAGAAAAATATGAAGCTTTCTTAAAACTCTGTACATATAGACCAGAGCGTTTAGTATTTTACATGCAAAAAGTGTGACTTCCCTCCAAGATGACTTGCAAACCTATAAATGTATTTGTGTATTTATTAAAAACCTCATAGATTGTAAGTCACTGCACTAAACTGCAGACCAAGCACACATTTTCCCCTCTTCCCCACTAATTAAGGTTTACATACCAAAAGTTTTAGCAGCTTGAATGGTTTCTCTGGATCCACGAACTGTCATGATTTGTGCCAAAGCAGTTAAATCATCACTTGCTTTGTAAAATGGATACCGTCCACTGAGCAGAGAAAGGAATATGATTCCTGCAGACCACATGTCAATAGCTGGAATTGAAAGCAAACTTAGTGATAACTAAATGCATGGTTTGATCACAAACAAAATCATAAGTTTCTGTAAAAAGGTACTATGACCTGAAGAGCTTCTGTCAGGAGAAGGTTCTGTTCTGAAGTACTGCCTTTGGTCACATAGATAACACTTCAGCAGTGGAAATAGCTACCATTAAGATTGAAGATACAAAGGGAGTGTTTGAGATTTTCCATAGAATTCACGTAATTCCATTAACTTGCTAAATTCATAATGTGCCAAAATAATGTTTGAGGTTGTTTCACCCGTGGTGATGAGAGGGAGCAAAAAAATGACTAGTTTTGATACGAAGAAAACCTTATCCAAGGATCATAAATAAAAATTAACGCACAAATGAATGCAAATCTGACTTTTTCTGGTGCTGAGACTGCCACAGTTAGGCAGTACTAAAGAAATTTGTCTTGCTATGAAGTTTGTTCCTCTTGAATATGAAATCATTTGACAAGATAGCCAGTTTAAGAACTGTAATAGTAGAAGTTATTCATCACTTTCATTGTGTTATGAAGAGTACAGAGAGTGCTCTGGGGATGGATGCCAAAGCATGATGGAAACTTTAATACTGAAAGTTATGAGAATACCTGTCTGCCATAAGTTTTTGGCTCACTGAGGTGCACAGTTTGTGAGATGGCAAGGAAAGTGCAGGAGAGAGTTTGAAAGGTTCTCAAACTCTGAAGAGAAAAAAAATAACAATTGAGAAATAAAGTCATAGTTATGCTCCTCTAACTAGTAAAATAGGCAGTAACTAATTTGAATGTTTTAGTTAGAAATACTATTAGCACAGGACTTAGGGGGAAAAAAGAGTATTAGGCTGACTTGAGTTGCAAAACCAGATTCTAAGTCTTTCAAGGAAAAAATAATCCCCAAGTTAATAATTTGGCATAATTTATGGTGGAAAAAAAGTTGTATCTTCATAGTTACTGTAAAAAAAAAGTTATACTATTACTGTATCACTGTTGAAAAGACCACACTCTCTGTGTGAGATGGTGCACATCACCCCAGTGGTGTGGTAGGTCAGGATCTTTAAAGAAACTTAATTACTCATGGTGAAATTAATAGCCATTATATATCTGAATGGCTGGTAAATCCTGGCCCTACAGTTCCGGCAGAGCTGGGATCATGAGCACACTGCAAGATCCTCTGCAGTGACATCAAAGTCATGACTCTCTATGCTTTTGTCTAGTGACAACCAGTGGGGCAAACTGAGGAAGGGGGAACAGAGGGAAAAGCGAAGTCAGAGTGTCACTGGTGCTGTATAATGTCAGTTTTGGGGTTTAGGTTGTATTCCCTGCACTGTGAGCCTGGGTCAGATGCGCTAAAGTAGCTCTGGATAGTCAGCTGGATCCATCTGGTAACTTGGTCTCAGCACAGAGACCAAAACTAGTAGTAAGACTGGCAAAAATACAAGGAGGTGACTGCAGCAGCTCCAGATGGAAGTGGACAAGAAGACTTGTTAGTTCAAATACAGCATCATCTCATAAATATTAGTATTAGTCTACCCAGCTCTAATAAAGGCCTTTGTTGACATACAAGAGTTTGGGACCAATGAGTCAGTACTTTCAGGGCTGTCTGTGCCACACCCAAGGCTTTCCAGATTTATCCGTATTCTCTGTAATCCTGCTGTCCGTTAGAGAATAGAAAGTGGTCTGAAAGCATATTTAACACCAGCATATGTCCAAGATTTCCTAGGTATGTCTTCTTTCTGCCTAAATTCTGTCTAGACAGACTCAGAAATTGTCTAAACTTGTCCTGGATGTCTTCTGGCCCATAAAGCTGGCTGTTACAGCGCAGGCATACTGACTCCAAACAGCCTGCCGTGCCTCTCAAAACCCCAGTCATGCCCCCAGCACAGATGTTGTTTCAAATAACATTATGCTATATCAAAGACATTGTATGCACACTCAGAAGAGACTTAACACATTTTAAGTACCGCAAATTGACGATTTTGTCAAAAGGTATTCAGCAAAAAAGTGGCTAATTGTATTTTAAATCAAATTTTTTACAGTGTTTGTATTTATTCCCCAGGAGTGAAAGCTCCTGTCATACACCAAATGTTTAACAGGTAACTTTGCTTTTCTTTGTCCTCCATTCTCCAGGTAGGCACAATCTCTCCCATCCTACTTGCATCAGTTAATGCATTAAAGCATTCCTCTGCTCTGCACTGGTATTTTCCCAGACTATTGAAACTTCACTTGCTAGTTTTTAACCCTGAGAAATTAAAAATGCAGTTAAGTAAAGAATCTGTCCTTCACAGATGAGCTATTTAAAGCAACAGCAAAAAGGAAAAAATCTGATAAAAAGTATTAACCAATGCTTTCTAAAACACATTTGTAATTATACCGTTAGCTACCTGCTATGACAGCAAACTTCATGTGACAAGAGAGAAGTCTAAAGTTACGAACTCTGCCTCAGATTTATTCATGATTTGATTTGAATAAACAAGCCCATAAGCCAAGAAACTTGATAAAAATTACAGCTTAGTTTTCTTTTAAAAGGCACTGCGTTCAACTCCTGCACACAACACTGCCCCTAAAGTGAGTAACAACACGTTCAGGTTTCAAACACAGGAAAAACATTCCTAATTTGTTCTTACTCTGAATAATACTTTTAAGTAAAATCAGGAAACGCTTCATGAGTGTTAGAAAGGATGATAAAATGAATGTCATACGTAAACAAAAATCCTCACATAGAAAAGACAGCATAATTTGCTAAGTAACAACGATCAAAAGGTGAAAATGGCATGGGGTTCACCCTGTGGTCCAGTACCTGTGGTCTGAGTGGGGCACTTTGTTAATACTTCTGGTGCTCTAAATCCTGGTGTTCCTGCCCTGGGAGCAACTTGCTGACACCTTGTAGTAAGAAATAAATATGTTTAGAATATACAAGTTGATACATTAGTTCTAAACATAATAATGCTAAATATTACTCATGTAAGATGTGCAAACAGCCTAACACAGTCTTACTCCAGTTGTATAGGAGTTTGAAGTCTCTTATAATTACCTAATAGAAAATTATGTTGCATAAGATAATTATAAGCCTTATTCTATTATTATATTATTTTTATAGTATTATCTACCATAAGGTAATGCCAAAGAAATACTTATTGCGTACTTCACTCACAATGACCTTTCTTAGTTTCATTCAACAGCAGCGTTGTTTTTGCTAAAGGCTTCTTTCCATAGGAAACTTTATAGTTGAGACTGATTAACCAAAGGCAAAAATATGCACTAGGTTCTTGAATGAGGCTGCTCTGGCCTCAGGACTTTGTATTAGTCCACAGCAAACTAATGTTCACTATTTCTGAGTGCTGACAAGAAATCACTTTTCATTAGATTACTTAAAAGGTGTGAGATTATCATTATTTAAAAAAACCCAAAATACTTTCTAGAGCTTTCTTGTATGACCTTCTATGGCCACTTCTCTTTGGAGTTGGGCAAATTCCTCAAGTTTGAAGTTGATAACACCGTACTTTGTCTGGGAAGAGGGGACCCCACAATTACATGGCTATGCCTAGTAAGCAAAATTCTCTGCCTTAATCTGTGTGCCTTAATGTGCAGATAAAAGACAGTAGCAGATCCTAACCAACGCTAACTGCAGAGGGATGTAGTTGAGCTGAGTTACTAAGATTCTCTAACCTACTATTAAAAATTATAAAAAAGCATTATTTTTAAATGAACAAATACAGTCAGATTTCCTTTTTACGTTCCATGTTTTCCAGAATCCAAACCATTGGCTGATTTAGGCCTATTAAACAGGTAACTACTAATGACAGATTGATGTATTGTCCGCTTTAAGTGTTGTAATTAATTCAAGCAATTTTCTACAACACATGAAGGTGGATAATTAAATACAACAAAATCATTAGCAGTGAATCCTTCTTGCTGCAGACAGTGAACCAATTAGTCCATGAGTTCCATGAACGCTTCTTGTTGCAAAAGAGAATGCTCAGCGTTTTAAGGGTTGCACAGTCCAAATGCTTTTTTTTTTACCTACTTAATCAGCTGTCCAGAAATCCATGTTTCTGACCTCGCTTGACAGCACACAGGCAATTTTACAACGTTGTCAAAGCAAATTACCTTGAAAGGCAAACACTGCAAACTCTGTCCGTCGCATAACAGTCACAGGTCAGGTTTGAGGGACAGGCACTAGCAGCTTTTCTGGATGCCCCATTGCTCACTGCTTTGGTAGAAATAATCTTCTTCTTTGTTACTAACTTCCTAGATGAAACATCTATTATCTTGGACTGTTTTATGAGCTGCAATGTAGATATTTTAGAGAAGGTGACGTATTTAAGAAACTTCCCTTTTACATACAGATAGGCCAGTTCCTAAAATACTAAGACTGAAGAGATGCTCATGAGCAAGAAGCTGCAATTTTAGAACAGAAAACAACAAACCTTTTCAATAGTATCACAACAGCTACAAAACAGACACTGAAGCTTTCTACGTGTGCTGGTTTCCTCCCATTTCCCTTCAGAAAACATTTTCCAGTGTTTACCAAAAACCAATATACATTAGATATTCTGAAGCTACAACACAGTATCTCTCAGGTTAGTATAGTGCTTCACAAATTCTTTTGCCTCAACATAAGAATAAAATAACAACATACATGAAATGCCATAGCAATAAACAGGCAGTACCTCTAATTTAGAATAAGATGATCACCGTTGGCCAAACCTTCTAATTTAATTGGGTTTCCCCCCTGTCATTAAATACTAACTAGAAAAAGTGCAGAAAAATATTTACTACAAGTTTTATCTCCAGCTTCAACTGCAAAATAAAAGAAAAAAGTCTGACAAGATAAGTGTATCTTAGTTGTACAGATGCACATGCAGCAGAAAAGACTGATTCCGCACACAAACAAGATCAGCTCGGGGGACATCTACATAACTAGCTCTTGAAGAGTTTCAAAAGGGGCTGAAATACAGGAAAAATTATTCAAGCCTTTCACCAAAGACACACTTAATAATCTGCTCCAAACCTTGTAGTTTCACAGCATCCTGCAGTAGTGTCTCATCTTACAGAACCAGTTCTATAATTTTTCAGATACGTAACAGATTGCTCTTACTGGTAAGTCATACTTCTTACTTTTGTACTCGAGTACTCTTGGTATGTGGAACTATAGATATTGAAATTCCTCTCTCCAAAGACAGAGCGCTGGACAGAATGGTGCACAGAATCCTGCAATACCAACAGAAAGGACAGTGAGGATCCTATCTAACACAGCTGGACACCAACAGTTCAGAAAAACAAAGTGTGAAGTGACATAAAACAAGAACAGCAGCAGGGTAAGTCATTTTCAGACATCAGTTTACTGGGAATGAGGAAAACATGGTCTAGACAGAAGAGCAAACATGCATACAAAACCAATCACACCTCAGAAGTGCCCCAAGACAATCTGAATGTCATCCATGCTGTATTTATTACGCAATTTAGAAACTAAGCGCAGATGAATAATTATTGGCTTGGAGAGGAATTCCAAAGTACACCACCGAAAAGTTAAGGCTGTCTAAATAGAAACCCATGCTAGGGTTTTTTACACAGCCTTTGGCACTGTGTATCTAACAGGTAATGAATGATGCCAGTAAAACCAGTCACTTTGATGTGAAAGCTGTAGTTCTGTGCAGCGCATTAGGACCTGCAAGACATGCATCTACAGCTTTTATTCTAGTATTACATCTCCCCCTGATGGATGAAGTAATACATTAAGCATACAACAATATTAATGAAAAAGTCTGAGAACCTTTCCTCCTCTTCCTTGTTTAATCTGTATTTTTGATAGTGAGCTGGACCTTTTATCAGCTGCTTTTGAGGCTGACTGTTGAGCTGTCTGTGTAGGTGCTGTGACACTGACAGAAACCCCATTTCCCAAGGCTATGGCGGGATTATTTTGCGAACAACTTCCCTGCTGATCTTCACAGTGGGCAGTTTTGAGAAGTTCAATTTTTGTATCAGGGGTTCCTTGTGCCAAGCCAAAATCAACCAAGGCATACCTGAAAGACAAACTTACAATTAGAAACCACAAAGTATCCATCAGTAAGTTCAGTTTACTATTCATTACTTGTTTCCTTCTCTTTCTTTCAAGCTTTACTCAATATATTGCTTATCTATACTGTTGCCAGCATCAGAGCCTTATTTTCCTCCTCTTCCTCTTGTCCTTTCTTAGCTATCCCCCTCAACGCTTTCACCCTATACCCATTTCATTTCACTGTTTTTTTGCCTTAAAATCTGCTCCACTTTCTCCAGTGGTGTTAAAAAAATATTCCCAGCAACTCCTTTATGGGATTCTTCTAATTCTACAGCTCCAACCCTGCAGCCAAGTCAAGTGACTTGACCCATGCAGGACTCTCATGGTCAGAGGACAAATGAAGGAATGATGGAGACAAGGCTAAAAATGCTGAGAGTTTTGTCAGACTTCACCTAATACTACTGGAATTAACTTCAGTCTTCAAAGAGGTAAGACCACATTTGCTCACACTTCAGATCTGTCTTTAAAAAGAATTATTTTCTGCTACAAGCAGTACAGAGACAAAACCCCTGTCTCTGAGTCTCAAACTTAACTCTATGGCCTCGACACCTGAAGGAGAGATTAAGGCTCAAATAAATGCTGGAAGAGCAAAACACCACTACAAATTCATTTTGACAGATTGAATAAATAAACAAATAACCAGTACTTCTCCAGTTTCTAAGCTTACAGTTTGGCAAAGTATAATCAAACCTCCCTTACAAACTTTTACTACATAGAATTATAGAATCATTACTCTCGAATCCCTAAATACAGAAAGAAAATGGGCACATCCCCACCTGAGATCACAGTGGGGGCATCTGGACAGACTTACTGCTTCAGCTGCCTGTTGTAGAGGAAGTTACTGGGCTTGACATCACGGTGAACAATCCCAAAGTGGTGAATGCGCCTAAGTGCTTTGAATAGATTAAACATGTATTCCCTCACTTCTTCAAAGGAAAGAGAATTCAAAATGTCCTGAAAGATTATATGGATACTGTAATTATGCAACTGCATTCAATTAAAAGGTTTTACTACACATAAAAAGTCTGGGACTCACCAGGAAGGATTCATGTTCCAGGTATGGCATAACAATAACCACATGATCGTTCTTCCTAAAGCAGTATTTAACTCCCATAACATTATCTTGTCCCCTAGAAGATAAGTAATGTCACTGAATAAAGACCAGAAGCTAGGTCTTTATTTCCCTTTATTTCTTAAAAACTTCATCCAGGCTTTCTTTTATGATCTAGTTTATATATTTGACAGCAGTCATTTGACATCCTGGTGACACTCATTGCTATGTTCCATTCGCAATTTGCAGTAAAGGCTCCAAAGATTATTTCTGGGGCCACGGTTTGTAGTTACAGCTGTAATTAAACATAGGATCTAACCTTTATGTTACCATCTCCTTTAAGAAGGTGTCATTCAGCACACTCTGGTAACAATTATTAATACCTGAAACCACATTTTCTGATGAAGACTTTTTTTTTCCAAGCATTTCAGACCTGGAATTTTTGTTATCAGAGGTACCTCATAGAACTTCTCAGATGGAAAACACATCTGCAAACTGAGATTAGCAAAAACGGGCATTCATTACAGGTAAGACACTCCATTTCTTATTTGCTCTTGACAAAAGGAATATACATTTCTGTGCTTAAAAAAAAAAAAGCAAGTGAAATGCCAAAACTTAAAGAACAGTGAGACAATGCTCAGCAGCTGAAACAACCACTGTTTCTTTGTGTATGTACCCTGCTACTGTGAGGCACTGAAGTTCAGCAGCAATTCGCAGAGGGTGGCTGGTTGGAATCAAGTGTTTCAGAGCCATTTTTTCCTCATGTCCTGTTTGTAGTTGTGCTGTGGCCAAGTAAACAGAACTAAAAGTACCTGTAGGGAAAGGAGAAAAACACTGTCTTCAGCATTTTTAATTAGGTCAATTCAGATTTCTACAGAAGTGATCTAACTGTTCACAATCCTGCTGCTGTGTATTTGATGCTACATCAAAAGCCAACTCAAGAAGAGAAAAATTCAGCTCCTTTTTTCTACTCCTGAATTCAGTGATCTTGTATACAAGTTTTTTATGTCAGTAAAAATGCAAATGTAACACTGTCTAACTTGCCTGGGACACAGAGCTCTTTGAATGTAAATTTCCTATCTTTGATTTGCGTTCTTGTTTGGGTAGCTTATTTTTATCTGACATCTAACTTCTCTCCTTACAATGTTAAGTGGGCTATATAATGCTAATCTGGAAAGCACTGCCTTTACTATTCAAAGCACCTCTAAAATTGTTACATTTTTCTTAATTCTGTTACCTATAAAGTAAGACTTCTCACATGATGTATAACTTTACTATTTGTTTGCCCAGAGCATTGCTGCATAGACAGAATGTGACAGTCTAACTTGAGGAAGGAAGTATTCGGACTCACCCATTTCCTTTTAAGTATATCCTAATATACCTCTTGGAAAGTTAATTTATCCTGATGATCTGAGATACCTGAATACACAAGTTGAAGCATTCTTCCGCATGAATAAACACTACAAATCACACTGATTAAGTATTGCATTTGCATCATGCCAGTTCAACAGTCTGTTAAGTGCATGCATACATGCAAAAATGCCAGCAAAACCTCTAAATGCTTCTTGCTGTGACAAAACCCCTGGAGTTCGCTACATTCAGTATCGTTGATTATAGCAACAAGGGTTACCAAGTTGACCTAAGACATTATTTTTGGTGGTGAGAACTGCTAAAATGAAAGTGACTCCAGAGTGGAGTTGTTTTCCCATAATGCTGCAAACTGCAAATGGTACTTCTTAAAAGCACTGTTTGCTCCCAAGAGCAAAAGCAAGAGTACTGTCCTTAACCAGAGACTTACTTTAATTATACTGTCTTTTTTTATGATAGGCGGAACTCCTTTTGAGACCGTTTTGGTTTTGAAATTGTTATTGCTGACGTGAACGGAGCTGGGTTTGGGAGGGGGTTTTTTGGGAGGATTTGAGACAAGAACTTTCAGCCCTGTAGCCTGCTATCACAGGTATTCCATCATGAAACAGCCACAGAACAATCTAGCTTCTCATCAACATCTTTGTTTAAACTGTGGAGTGTCATAAAGCATTTCAGAGATCAAGTGGGTAAAGTTCCAAAAAGTGCTGAAAGCCCTAAGCATCTGCTTACAGTCCTGCCTAACATTAATTGAAGGTATCTGCAGTAGTGTCTGTTAAGGCAAGGTGTACACAAGCATTCTAAAATTTGATACCACATGTCTTTAAAAGAGAAAGTAAGTTTTTGGTGGTTTAAATAAAGCAGCTATAATCTTTCAGTCTCCTCCAGGTCTGCCTACAGGGTTTTCGGAGAAACAAGGCCACCTTAGGGAACAGTACTTAAATATGTCAAAACTCAGCTGCATATGAACAGATTCCTCATGTAAAAGACATAAAGGATGGAGAGCTAAGGCATTTACTCAAGTCTACCTCAAACTTTGTAGCTGTCAAAACTGGAATGCTGGTTTTTTGAAAGGCTTTAATACCCCCCTTTAATACCTTGCAAATATCCCTATGTAACACACATATACTGGCAGCAACATATATATAGAAGCTAAGAAGTAAATCAGGTAAATTTAAGTAAATGTTTAAATTGCATATAGTGGCATCCTAGATTTATACTTTTAAAGTTATAAATACCAAAAGAAATCTAAGTTTAAGGTAGCTAAAATAAAACGTTTACCTTCTCCAATTTTCTCCTTGATTTTGAACACATTCACAAGCTGTGGCACTGCTTCGTAAAGCTTTTGAATATCTTTTTTGATTCCTGCTTTGGAAAGAATGGGGAAATATGAATTTTATTGCTTGATTCAATATTCTATTTCTATTTGAGATCACAAATCATAACTTGCGTTCATAGGACAATGAATTTACATACACACAGGAAAAACCAGCAGAGACAGGTATCTGTCCCTGCTGACATTGCCATTATCTGCAGTTCCTGGTGGGGCAAAAGGCTCCTGGTTAGTAAAACATCATGTTACAGCTCACTGATAAATGTTTTCATGAGATTTACAATGTCAAGTACATTAATAGACAAAACTACAGCAGCTGCTTCTGCAAGCACCGAGCACATCCATCGGATGAAATTCCAAAATGTAGGAAATTCCTCTTTTTAAGCTCAGGAATGCAGTCCTTCACACTGTTACTTAAAATAGCAAACCCCGTGTTTGCATTGAAGTTGCTGCACTTCGTGCTGCGATCATTAGATGGCAGGACAAGGATGTTGTATTGTAGTAGTGCAAAAAATTGAGGTAGTTTTCCATTCAGTTTACAAATCCTAGTAGTTTAAGTGTTCTCTACCCCCTGCATAACAACTCACTTCTTTTGAATCTACGAGGTATGAAGAGGCTGTGACTCATTTCTGTAAAGCAATGGCGGGGAATATTTTATTATACAGAACTAAGCACAAACTGGTATTTGGAAAGTCCATCAAATGGAAGGAAAAAAAAAGTGTATAGATTTTTTCACCCAAAAAGTAAATAATAAATGAAGTTTAACATAAATACATAAATTGTATTGTATCCATTAAAATGTGGTGTTGTACCAGGGCAGAAAACCATCAGCAATGACAATGATTTTTAAAATATCACTGATACGCTAGAAACAAAGTATGGGTTAGCATGAAACCACAACCTCCTGTGTTAGCTCACTTCATACAGCAACAAAAGCTGAAGGATACCTAAAGAACCCTTTTCCTTGGTAAAAGCACAAGAAATCAGTTGGTAATTCAAGTTACAGGTAACTTCTGACTGACTTTTCTTGTTTCAACAATTTATAAAACACAACATACTAAAAATACTTCTGAGAACTGGAGCCTGCTGCCTCTCTTACTACATCCGGTTACTTATCGTTTTCCTTTAAGGTGTTCCCTCTGCTTCTCCAGGTTGTTTTAAGTCATTTCAGGGGAGATATTTCAGGAATGGCAGAAAAAAAACAAACCTCTCTACTACACACTAGAACCTCTAACAGTCATCTAAGATGCTTTTGATCAACAAACACAAGTAAAAGGATAATCAGTTATGCCAGGAATCATACCTAAAAAGCGCAAAGCTATCCTAGGATAAGAATGACCAGACTTGACTGTTAGTACAAGACGTACAGGGCCCTGCGTCCAATAATCCCTGAAGGAAAAGGCTAAGGTCAGCTAGACAGTTATTCTGGGTATTCCCCAGTTTTACAGAGAGGAATCATTTCATTTTCCTGTCAACGTAGTAAAAAAATTCTATTGAAAGTAACACTGAAAATTCAGGAAGTTACTACATAACATTTTTTGACTTGATGGTATTCACATTGCCCACGTGCTCAGAACTCTATTGAAGAAACATATCCAGTATTGCTGTAATTCTTGTCACTTTGTCACTAGAAAGCTTTGTCATTTTAAAAGTGGTATTTCCAGGTAGTTTGCGCAGTAATTTCCATTTTTTACACAAATGCTCGTGCTACTTGGCATGTATGAGGCACACACAAAAGCTTTCAGAAACCTTCAGAAAGGAAGAGGAAAGGCTGAGATTTGCACTATGCTCCATTTTCCTCACGAATACTCAAAGACATCAAGAGATGAAACCATGTACCAGAACTATAAAGAACTTCACATTGAAATGTTATTGCATCACCCAAAGACATAGGCCTTTCTCCTCAGGAAGATAATCCTGCTGCTGAATTCTGAAACCCTACACAATCTTCATCCCAAAAGGTCAGCAGCTACAGGACAGAGGCCCTCAGTATACTCGTCACCTATTCTTTCCCAGGGCCTGAATCCCCAGCTGAGTATAGAGAACATATAGTCATTATTCCATCAGAGTGTAAGAATAAATAATATCCAACATTTCCTGTGAGAAGATTTTAAAGTAATTTCCTTTACTTCCAGGAATGAAAAGCATTTGCAAGAGGTGAGACAATTAAATGTTATTCAGCATCACTCTGTAATTCCAGACACGGATGTGACAGGGAATGACAGGACTACCTATTTCTAGGAAAATCAAGTCATTATATATACAGTCTTATTCTCAAGGGCTGTCTTTTTTGAGTTCCGGTGTTCTCTTAGAACACTCTGTAATAAATGAATATAGGGTGAGCAAATTGTGACAAACTGTTGCTGCTGATGTTCTGTAACATACAAAATATGCAGGAATAAACCTAAAATCAAGAACCACCTCAAATGTTTTCATTTCATTAGTGCTTTATACAACAGGGTCACATACAGAGAAGTTTACAATCGATGCTGAAACTTCTTGAAGCAATGAAGCAGCATGTCAGCAACAAAACCTAATGTTAGCAATCCCTGCTTTAGCACATACCTGAGAGCCTGCTGCTCTCCTCATGCTTTCCACGGAAGTCTTCAGCCTGATGAGGGTGCTGTTCATCACAGTGAGACCTCAACACTGCCTCCATCACACAACAAACCTGAAGTGAAAAACCCAAGACTGTGAGCACCACTTCGGGACACCCTGGGAAGCCAGCAGAGCAGCAGATCAGGTAAGACATTTTCTGGCCCCACACTCAGTTCCTGAGACGAGATTTATGAGTCAGAGGAGTTCTTCTGTGCTACCTAAAACAACAGAGAGCGTCACCCACCATCTCAGAGACAAACCAGTAAATCCACTCCTCATCTCTAGTAAGAGGTAAAAACGGGGGAAGAGAGGGAAGACTGCAGGATAAGCTTAGACACAAGCGATCCTCTTTCATCTCTTGTGTGTTTCCTCATTCACATAAAAGCATTATCTTTCCCCTGAAGGTTGCTTTGAAAGGCAAAGAATTGAGGCACACAGAAATAGCTGCACTGCGTTCTGCAACACACAAAGACAGACATCCTGGAAAGAAACTGTAAGAGAAAAACAAAGTATCTTCTCAACATGAGAGATTTCCCTCTTCTAGATAAGATTAACAAAGGGGCATAATTAGGTGTCTTTCTCCCCAATAACAAGAAATCATAGAATATGCTTATTTTGAACTGCTTCTTTCCAAATCTTGTAAACACTGTAATAAAACTGTAAATTAGTAAAGTGTACTCATACTGTACAATCAAAAACCATTGACAATCCTATTTCATTAAGGAAAGAAATGCAGAGAGCCTCAGGGCAGGATAACAGGTGATCAGTGTGCCTGGAAGCACTACCTCTCACAGCTGCCCAGCCCTAGTTCCATCCAAAGACCTTCCTTGCTTGTCACTTTGCCAAACCTTCCAAGTTCTGGCTGAACTTTTCCACAAGGGGGAAACATATCCTGAAAAACTTCAAATCAAAGGATTCATCTGTTTGAGCTATGGAGCTAGAAATGTATTTTATCCCCGAAGAATTTGAACTACCTTTAGTCTGTCATCCTCGTGCAACAGAACAGGGACAGGGAACAGCCTCTTCTTTTGAAGGAGCTTTGCTGGAGAGTGGGACTTGGAAACTAAAGGAATGATTTCTAGTCTCTCACGGGTAGACACTCCCTCTACTACTGCTGAGTAGGCAGATAAGCCTGTTCGAACCCTGAAGTAGCATGGCCTCTAGCAGAATAAGGAGTGCAAATTAACACAGACATCCCCTTGCTCTATTCGGCCCCATGGCAGCCCCAGCTCTTCCAGTTCAAGGCTGGCTGCAAGCACCTTGTTTGGGAGAAGCACATGAACGCTTTTGCCTGCAAACTGCCATGGGAACACACTCAGGGCTTGCTGGCCATGAGAGGGTGGAGGGGCCTCAAAACCCCATGTATCATTTCCATTAATTTATGGTAAACACACAAGCTACAACGTGCAGAACCAAATACCTTGAGTACGTGCATACATTGACAAATGGTTTACTGAGTTGGATGGGGGCTTAACAGCTATAAAATGGAACATGAAATCTGATTCAGTCGGACATTTAGTTTTATATTTAAAAAACACTTAAATGACATCATTAGACATACAAAATTAAGACAAAATGATTCAGTTTCAGCTCAAAGAACCTTCCTGCAGTTAAATCACATCTCCAGTGAAATAAACCATAACCCCTACAAACAACAGATAGTGACAGACTCAAACAGCCTACACAGCTTCAGCAGTTTCTGAGTCAGGTACCTGAACCTTGTAACAGAGAAACCGGTGATCCTGCTGCTGAATCCTTGGCTAAAGCAATGCTGCTACTAAAATGCAGAGCTCCTTTAAGTCGGAACTCACACATGGACACCCCTGGGAGAAACTTAAGTGTGACCAAAATAAAAGTTGATATCTCTACTTTGTTGAATCCTAGAGTGGTTTGTGTTGGAAAGGCCCTTAAAGCTCACCCAGTTCTAGTCCCCTGCCATGGGCAGGGACACCTTCCACTGGACCAAGTTACTCCAAGCCACGTCCAACCTGGCCTTGAACACGGCCAGGGATGGGGCAGCCACAAAAACCAAACGTTGTGGCTGGAATAAGCCTTGCAATGAGCTGATGTTTTGTATACATGCACAGTAAACCCGTTTATTACAAGACAAGCGGCAGAAGCCGCACATGAGAACTTCAGTTTGCCATAACGATACCCCTACAGCCAGGCTCCATGTGGAGCCCCTCACCGCAGCTGGCTCCACAGGGCAGCCCTGGCAGCGAGACCGTCGTTCTCCGAGCTGCACTCTGAGGGGGCGCGAACTGCAAACGGGCGGGACTCGGGCACCAAACGGCGGTCGGCGAGAGCGGTTATAACGGGAGCAGAAGGGGCGGGAGTGAGGGAGAGGGGAATCCGCGGGGGCTCCCCAGAGCCGTGGGGCTGCGACCGGACCCGCGGGGACTGCCGGGCCCGAAGGAGGCAAAGCGGGGCCTCCCCACAGCTGAGCAGGCCGCGCCGCGCGTGGCGGGTCGGGCCGGGCCGGCTCAGACCGGGCCGGGCCGGAGCCCTTCCCCCACCCCCCTTTCCCCCCATCCCATCCCCATCCCACCCCGACAGCCGCGGCGGGGCCGCCATGGCACCGCCCGCGGGGCGGGTGTGGGGGTCTCTCGCCGGGACTCACGCAGAGCACGGACTGCTGTCGCGGCGCGCGCCGGGGTTTTTGCCTGCTGCCGCCTTTTGCCGACCGCCCCTCCGCTACCAATCCCGGGCCTCGGCGGAAGCCGCGGCATCGGCCAATGGGAGCGCCGATCGCAGGAACGCGCGCTGCTATTGGCTGGCAAGCTCGGAGAGGCCCGCCCAAAGAGGTGCGGCGGGCGACGTGCTCGGGGCCCAACTCTGGTCCCGCGTCTGCCGGTGCGGAGGAGGAGAGGCCGGGTCGGGGATACATCCCCCACAGCCAGGCCTGGCTGCCTGGCCTTGTACCTAGCACCGTGCGGTGGGGACCCAGCGGTCCCGGCGTAGTGCGGGCCTGCTGTGACCGCGGTCGCCGCAACCGGAGGCCGGGGACTCTCTGCCCTCAGCGTCCCGGTGGGAGGACGCGGCCGGTGTCACCGGTAACTGGAGCTGTGCGGGAATAGCTGCTCGGGATACTCGTGCTCCGAACAGCAGCACCCAGCCCTCGGAGTGCTTGCTTTTCTGCATGGGATCGTTGTGAAGTGATTGCAGTCCCTGGACAAGAGCTCGGTCGCGTTAGCTCTGCCATAAATTACGCTATGAAATAGTCGATGGTCCGTGAGACACGAAAGCACAGAATACAACAATAAGTATCTTATTCTGACCTGTGCTATAGCCACTGACCAACAATGAGCACGAGTAGGAAAAGTGACTGTTGGAATAATGGTTTGCTGTTGTTCAAAGTAGTTGTTGGATTTTACTGAAGCTGGTGAAGTTGCATGGATGTACATAAAAGAATTTAGCACTTTATGTCATTATCTGATTTTGGTTATTGTTTCTTTTTCATCTAAGATAAAATAGCACTGCTCTTACTAGAGACTCGCTCTCTGGCATTTAATAATGAATAGAGCTCTTGCTCACTAGAATATAATGCTCTTGTTGAATGCATGCTTCATGTAGAGGTATTTAACAGCACCCCTTGGTAAGTAACAACAAGCAGGGGTTGCCAGAGTTCCCAAGGCAATGCTGGAGCCTGGCTATTTCCTTACAATAACTGCTTAGGTTAACAAAGATGTTAGGAAGAAGTTCCACCACTTTTGCTAACTTGTGTTGCTTCCCATTACACAGCTTAGAAAGATGGTGCAGGACAGAGCTATGAGCTGCTCAGGTGGGTTTTGTGGGGTTGTTGTGATATGGGGGGGTCTTTTTTCCAACAGTTGCTCTAATTTGCGCTTATTTAGCTTATTATTTAGTCCCCTGCAGTAGCTGGGATTTACTGATGTACTCTCAGAATTCCAGTTAAGGATGACAGTATTTAAAAGCAGATTGTAGCAAAAATGAATTAAATGAAGGATCATGACAAAATACTGCAGGCCAAATTCCCCTCTTGCTTTTATCCAGGTAATCTTATGGAAGTCAGAAGGGCAGCATAAACATTTGTGAGTGCTTGTCTTAGTGCTGGTGACAGTTACGGTCACTCTGAATTAACCTCTTGGGACAATCTGACCCGTAGTGATTTCTGAATCCTCTACTGAACCATCCCATCCTGTGCAATATGGAACTGTCAGCATTTCTGTACAGCTCCATTACTGGCAGTGCTCTGTTAGTCGTATCCATACCGCCTTTATCCCCATCACTTAGGTTGCATTCATACACAGGGAGAAAGCCATTTCATTATGTCTTCTGATCTAAACCCTGCCTACTTGTGGTTTCTTTCCCTGCAATACCTCAATTTATCTTGGTTGGATCTAAAGGATGAGAAGCCAAATGACAAGCCAGGGCCATGCAGAATATTCCTTGCAGCTGACAAGCAATTGCCAAACCCCACTTCTGGGAGCTTGCCAGGAAAGGTTCCAAACATTGCTGTGGATTGCATCCTCTGCTGCCAGAATCCATATCTCAATCCAACTTTTTCTTTCTGGTGACAGATCTAAAAGCATCCCTGCTGACACTAGAGCACATCTATTAACCTTTCCTGGGTCAGTTAAATCAGTAGAAGCAGCCTAGAATTAGAAATCAATCTATTTACAAATGAGCAAATGAAAGTGGTTCTTACCCTGACAGCACAAATATATATATATACTTATACACATGTATATAAAAATTCAATTTTAGTCATAGTATAGACTGTTAAATGTATTATTCAGTCTTCATTAGCCTAAATGCCACATGCTTTCCAACTTTTAATTCCTCTTTTTGTTAGGCAATACAAGTCTGCAGCAAAATTTTGTTCTCTTTAGCACCAGGTTGAGACAAATCTCTTCATGCTGTTGTGCCCTTTAGGAATCCTGTCAAATTCAATCACTCAGGACTCATGAGTCTTGCACTAACATGAAGAGATTGATTTGAAAACCGTGGGACTAAAGTCCTTTTTTCTGTTTCTCATTTTCCATTTTCATACCTTAACCACTTTGCAGGAAGCTGAGATTGCCAGCTTTGCTCTCACATGCAGATGAGCACTTCCCAGAGCTCTGCAGCCCTACAGTAATGCACTGGGATGTGGCAGTGACTGTCTCTGCCAGTGTTTTCTGATCACTTGTATCTGAAATGTCAAGGAATTACTGTGGTGTCAGGAAACATACTAGAACACAGCCTATTTAAAGGGGTTAAAAATAGATAGAAAAATTACCTCAGGCAAAGATGCAGTGGAATTCTTGACCTTTTCTAAACTGTGCCTCAATCAAACAAAGTATGCTGTAATAAAATCAATAGAAGGCATACCTGGAATAAAGAATGCAGGTTCTCCTCCACAAAGCAAAGTTTGAAAAAGACTGATGAGTTTACTGTAGCAAAAAGGGCTTATGCAAACCTTAGCCTATAGCTGGAGTGCCAATTTTCATGGTGGCAGTTTTTACCTGTTTGTGCAAATTCTGAGGGTGATTAGAGCATGGTGTGCACAGTCATGATGCTCACATTGCAAGATGGATACTGAGTGTAGAGGAGAGCTACAGTATGATCTGGAGTCAGAGAAAATGCCATGTAATTGAAGATACTGAAATCTTAACCTATTCACTGGATCAAAGAGAGTTGGTAACAGTGTATACATTAATGCACAGGAAAAAATACCGAATAAAAGGGCCACCTGAACCTAGCAAAGAGTGCAGTGTGAAGGGGTAACGCCTAGCGACTGGAATCAAGCAAATGAAAATAGAATAGTCTTCAGTACCTGATTCAGAACCACTGACAGTAAATAAATCCTTGGAACAGTCAAGAGCTGTGGTTGGTTCCTTGGCTCTTGATGCCTTCAGACTGAGGCTTGATGCCTCCCCGGAAAACACAGGCCAGCCAAATGCAGGCTGTGTTGTGTTTGAGTGCAGCAGGCTCAGTTTAGGGTTAGATGCAACTGCTTGTAATTTACAGGAGATCAAACTACATGCTCACATAGTCCCTCTCTTCTAGGCTTCATACATAAATTTCTATACTTCGTAAACTCTTCAGAATCTCTATAAATAATTATGTTCCTCCAACCACCCCAGGTTTAGCTTTCCTTTCCATGTACACCTTTTCCATATTTGACTATCCTGACCCACTTGCACAGCACTGTGGCCAGGAAAACATCACTGGCAGGTAATGGGGATTTCTGTCCCAGCTGCTGAGCTGCTCTGCAGTCCTCAGAGAAGTTTCTGACGCAGTGTCCCCGGCCCTCACCTTTATTTGTCCTTGAGGAGAAAACACTTCATCCAGCTTAGCTCTCTCCAGCCAGTCAGGGCTGCACTTCAGAGACTTCTTCAGCCTTTAGAACAAATCAGAATAGACAAAGCCAAAGCTTTACTCAGCAGCAACAAGCCATTCAGAGTCATTTGAATGTTCTTAGAGTTGCTGCAGGTTTTGCTCACAGTCTAACAGGAACATTAGGCTTTGCTAAACTGGTACTTGGGTAACTAAAGGGACAACTGGCACCTTACAGCTATGAGCAAAGTGCTTTTCCTCTGCCTTTCCCTATGTTGCCTGTTTTCTTTACTTGGAGCATCTGTTTGAACGCAGAGCTGCCGTTTTCTTTGTTGTTCTCAGTATTTTATCATCACACGAGGCTTTTCTCATCGTTAAATAAGAGGTTATGTTCTCCTAATAGATCTGTAGATAACACTGTGCTTTTGCTCCATCTATCTGACATAAAGCTGACTCTGGTAACCTCACTTACTGAGTAATTGTGTTGTCACTGGGAATACTCACACATATAAAATGAGGAGGACTCGGCCCTTTGGTCATATTTTTGTAATAAAAGATAAAATGAGATTTTTAGGAAACTGCAACTTACGACCATAATATTTATGAGGCTGTCAGGACTGCACTGTAAAAATTCCTATTATTTAATTCTTCACTCTGACACTAAGGCATCATTTCATTTATATGCAAATAAGAATATACTCTACTGCTGTTTCTTCACTGAAGAAGCTGTTTGAATTATTCAGATTTTATTAATAAAGCTTCATAAATAAGTATGTTTTCTACTCAATTGGTAGTAGCCAGGGGAAATAATCTATTTATCAGACTTTGTTATTATGAGCTTCATAACAAAATATGAAGATTTATGGAGTACATAATTAGACATTATGTGATTGTAATGGAAACATTGGGTTATCCAGATGAAATACTCTTTCCTTATGTATTTCTCCTTGGTAGAGGCACTTTGTGCAAAATGGCAGAGGATCTGCTCTGCAGACTGAGGATTAACTGTGTGTGTGACAGCACAATTGACAGCCTGAAACGGCAGGCTTCGAAACCACCACTAAGTGTCCAGCACTTGATATTCCCTTCAGGTACAGACCCCAGTCAGTGTGCTCCTGTAGTGAACTCAGTTCTACCTGTGCTGTGAAAGAGGCTGAGCCCTGGCAACAAACCCTGGTTTGGGACAGCCAGGTCTGTAACCTCCCAATGGGGTCAGGCAGAACAGGGATGCCCTGATGCCCTGCTTAGTCAAGGCATCAGCCTCTTCATGTATGCAGCAGGGGGAATTTAGGGACCTAAGGATTTTCTTCAGCAAGTTACAGAGACTGAAGTGCTTAAGTTTGTGTAAATTGCTTTGTCCAAGTTAGGTCCCTATACTGCAGTTAAAATAGGCACTTTTTGAAATACTGGCTCTGAATTCTCCCTCTGGAGTTGAAGCGTGAGACCTATAGAGCAATAGAGT